AGCTCAACTGACTCAACCGATGCTAGGCTAAAAACTAGGCATGCACAGAGGACACGAACACACGTTCGCTAACAGAATGCACCGTGGTGTCACCGGCCCTCGACGACGGTGAGGGTGATTTCATTGACGGTGCAGCTCAAGGAGCAGTCGCCGTCGGTGGAGGTTGATCCCCGGTCGCTGCAGTAGCCCGGGTGCCTAGGCTGTGGCATCAACGCGCTCAGGTTGGCCAGCATCAGAAACACCGTGGCCATGTGCGGCCGGTCCTCCGGCCGTTCCTGCACGCACAGCAGCCCGACCTGCACGCACCGCAGCACCTCCTCCGACTCCCGGTCGCCGCCGCTGGCCACCGCCTCGTCTAGCAGCCCCAGCGCGTTGCCCTCCCTCCACAGCTTCCATGCCTGCCCAGCCATGCACACATCACACTCACGTTACCACCATCTCTTTCTCATCAACAGAGCGACCGATTAGTTCTGGATGACTCACGTGGCTGAGCAGGCTCGTCTGCTCGCCGCTGCTGTACATTCCCCGGTTCTTCCTGCCGCTGACGATCTCGAGCACCAGCACGCCGAAGCTGAACACGTCGGACTTCACCGAGAAGACGCCGTCCATGGCGTACTCGGGGGACATGTACCCGCTGCATGCATGCACACGAGCGCGTCGGTCAGCTCGCCGTTGCATCGAAAACATAAAACCGACGGCGCCGAATGCGACGGCCTTCACTTACTATGTCCCGACGACCCTTCGGGTGTGTGAGTCGGCGCCGTCGCCACCGAAGATCCTGGCGACGCCGAAGTCGGAGATCTTGGGGTTCATGTCGCCGTCGAGGAGGATGTTGCCGGCCTTGAGGTCCCGGTGGATGACCTTGAACCTCGAGTCCTGGTGCAGGTACAGGAGCCCCCGTGCGACGCCCAGTACGATGTCAAACCGCTTCGGCCAGTCCAGTTGCGCCGATCGAGCCTTATCTGCTTAAACACATCATTTCATGATTTTCATCTGTAAATTCACGGCAACAACTTAAATCCACAACGTGTGTAGATGGACAGGTTTGACGTACCGAAGAGGAGCATGTCCAGGCTCTTGTTCTCCATGTACTCGTACACCAGGATCCTCTCCTCTCCATGGAC